TGACTACGACAAGAGTGTGCAATGGCGCCAAAAATCACTTGAGATCAAAGAGAAAGCTGCAGAATCTAATAGCACCAAGAAAGGTAAGACACTACCCCCCCTCCCACATAATAGAAGCCCCCGGGGGCTTCTAAACTGTCCAGCGTCCAAAATTTTCGGAGGGGCTTCTATTATGTCCCACGATTTTTCAAAGATTTCAGGTACCAAAGTTTTTCAAAAGCCTTAAGGAAATTTTCAGAGTTTTTACGGGTTTTTCGCAGGGTTTTCAAGGAAATATCGAGATTTTAATACTGACAAGCAAGAATTTAGTACATTTTTACCTTAAAACCTTGTAATTTTTAAAGTTTCACTATGAAAACACAAATAAAAGTTTTCAAAAAACTTCCGAAAAGTTTTTAAAATGAGGAGGCTTCTAATATGTCTGGCAAGTCGACTCCTCCAGGAGGGGCTTCTATTATTGAGGGGGAGGGGGGGAGGGTAGAACGATTTGCAGGCTTCACAAACGATGATCAATCACTATTCAGCAACAGATAAGTATGAAAAGAAATATTTTCCGAAGGGTATGGGTGTTAGCCTTCTATTTTGGCACTACCACCAATACCCAGCTACACTCTTCTCAAATACTTGTCATGATATTCAAAGACCACACAAGTTCTAATTAAAGCAGTTATATTCTTCATCAGTGATCTGGTTTTAGAAGAAATCTCACTTTTGTTTGATGGTATCTAAAAATAAACTATATGACAGATTTGATATTTGGAAAGGAGCTTGCTTGTCTGTCCACTGAGTTTTCTAGGAAATTCTGATAGTTTTGATTCTTTTTTAAAGAAATTTCAATTGCCTTGCGAAACGAATGACATTCATAACTAGGTATAGGTGTGAATGTATGCGTAGCTGCGTTCCTCTTTCGTACTGACATTCACATTCTCGAATAGCCGTAAGTTCTTTTCTGCTAGGCATTTAATAGAAGACACGTAGCAGATACTCTAACGATGGAAAATACAAAGTCATAAAAGTAGTGCTTTCAGATGAAAGAAAGAAGGGTTTGGCTTTGAAATCATTTCTCCCTATTGGGAACGTTTAAAATAATCGGTTAGGTGGACAGTAATAGATTTCCTCACTACTCTACAATAAAAATTAATGCATGTCAATCTTCTCACTGCGCATCGAGTATCGTACAATTTTAGAGGATTTTAGCCAACAACCATACCCACACATTATTTGGAGAATGATGCTTTGTTAAAAAAAATTTCAAGAGTTGAAACTTTAGTTACACACGAGAGGTTAAAATTTTGTACGATTTTTTAAAGAGAGTATTCAAATGGTAAACCTTACTGGAACTGCTTCTTTTTCATGCAAAATCATATCATAAAGAAATATATTTTTATTCACGATGAGCTCAGATAATGACATCGACAGTTTCTGGTATATGTTTCTATATTTAGATCGATCACATGACTTTATTCAAATAGCCGACGAGGATCTCAAACTACATGAGAAGATTGGTGTCGGAGCCTCTGGAACAGTACACAGAGCCACGTGGATAAGTAGACGTTACACAGTCGCTGTCAAAAAATTGCATTTGACTCATTTGACTGATAGAGCTGAGAAAGAATTTTTCAAAGAACTTTCACTATTGGACGGCATTCGTTCTTCAAACGTCGTCAGTTTTTATGGTGCATGCACGGAAACAGGAAAGTATGCATTGGTTATGGAATACATGTCATTAGGATCATTGTACAAGATATTGCATGAAGATAATCTTGTATTAACTTGGTCTGAACGATTGTCGATTGCGCTTCAAACGGTCAGTGGAATCAATTACTTGCATCAATTATTAGAACCTATCTTACATCGTGACATAAAATCGTTGAAATTTTTGATGGAGAGAGCCTATCAAGGATACACTACCAAAGTGTGTGATTTTGGTTTGGCTAGAACACGAAATGAAACGACGTGTCAAACAACATCAGATTCTACATTGGTCTGCACATTGCAATGGACTGCTCCTGAAATATTGTGTTTGAAATGCTATACAGATAAGAGTGACATCTATAGTTTGGGAATAGTTTTTTGGGAACTCGCTAGCAGCGAAATCCCTTATGATGGTCATGAAAACAGTGTTATTCGTGCATTCGTGCTTGCTGGTGACCGTTTGAAGATACCCGAAAGTACTCCATCGACTTTTCATAGGGTCATCGAAACATGTTGGGCTCAAAGGCCGAATGATCGACCCAACAGTTCGCAACTAATTCAAATGATTGAAGAGTGTATTCAAGTTCACAGTAATTTATTCTTATTCTTGCTCTTTTTTAGAGAACTATGAAGAGTTAAACAAAAGGATGCTAGATTTGAAGGCATTATAAATTAGCTACATAGTTCATATTTGATTGAATGTAAGAGCGAAAATGTCATTTACAATGATTAGATCATTTAAATATATAAAGCTACAGTGCTTCGACAGTGTAAGACACTAGTGTGAGGAACCTACAAGAAACAAATGAGCCACACTGTAATCTAAGTTGAAAAAACACGCAATTAATGAGGGTGTGGGTGTGGGTGTGTGAATGTGGGTGCAAGTGTGAGTGTGTGTATGTGGATCAAGCAAAGACAAACATCCACACTACACCCACACCCACACCTACACCCAAACTCACACCCACACTCACACTCACACTCACACCCACACCCCACACCCATACCCTACACCCACTCACAACAACGCCCACACCCTTCATTAAAGTATATGACCAATCACTATTCAGTTCAATAAAGAATGTCAATCGTGCAGTATGATTTACTACATTTGAAGTAAATCGATTGATAGAGTGCTTCTTCTATTAACCGTATTTTTTTTTCGACAATCTATTACTTCTTTTCCTCCTATTTAGATGTGATTGTAGATGACGATGGAAATCAAATAAGGGGCACCACAATTGATGATTTCCAATCTTCGCCACCTGAGAGTTTAAATAGTTCGAAATTCGGAAAGGAGGTGAACATCTGAGTGAAATTTTTAATATCAGTCGGTGAATCCAACCTTTATCCGATCTATAATTTCTTTACATGTTGTCAACTAAATGCAGCTTATATAGGTTCATGATGCACAGCAACTGAATTACAAATCTTAGAGAATGATCGTTGAATTAGTGAATAGATATACATATCGATCCAAAAGAAGGGCAGCAAACTCGTTTATCACGAAAACGAAAACTTTTTTTTAGAGTTAAGCTGGTAAATTGATTGAGAGCAACGGTGTCCCTCAGAAGCATGTGCATTGCAGAAACTATTCTGTGAGCGATCTTTAAGAACTTATCTAGCTCTTCATGAGACAGGTGAAAACTGAATACCTATTTTGAATAGAATCATTGGATTTCCAGCTTCAAATGCGTCTGTACAGTTTTTTAAGGTTGGTTTGATTATTGAGAAACTTCTTTTTTCTAATTTCAATGACAAGACAATACAAAACTATCAATAATACGTCGATATGTAGCCACATGTTTTTTTTACCATAATTTAGTTT